CAAAGATGCTTCTTATATTTCCCCATCTTGTTCTTCAGAGTAAAGTTTTTCATTCTTTCCTAGAACTCCAAACACACAAAAGTATGGTGTATTTTACTTAACTGAAACTTAGGTCATCTTAAACTATTTCAGAATCTTTTGCCCTCACAGAGGATAAGTGGATTATTTGTGAACACTGGTTAATATATGTTTACACACAAATACATGCTAATGCATATGCATGTTAATGAAATAATAACTGGCTAAGGAAATGTCATTAAAGTACAGGCTAGAAGGAAAATTCACATAAAAACAAAACCTTAAGAAACTGAAGTTCCCAAAATTCAGAAACAATCAGTCAAAGACTAAACTTTAATAGTTTAGTTTTAATACCACTTGTGTGAAGAGTCTGGAACTACTTTAAGATTTTTTAAAGGATAAATGACTTAAAGCAAGGTTATTCATTTGAAATTTTAACATTGTGGTTTTGTAAAAAACACAAATGAGTAAGAAAACACCTGCTAAGGTATGTGGAATTATATCACACAGGACTACAGCTGCTTAGACTCCTGTAAGAACCCTTGGCTGTTTGAGATAGAAATGTATTTGCTTTAATCACATGGAATAATTTAGTCTCAATCTAAAACTTCCAAAAACAGTAAATACATATGTTGCCTATAAAATCTATGTGCCTATGGCAGGACATTGTTTGTTTAAATTAGCTAATACCTCCTTGAGGATTTTGTTTGCCTAAAGTTAGCTAATACTTACCCTGGGATTTGTTTCTCATTGATTTTCTTCACTGTTAAAGTTAGCATGGGGTCAACCTCATTTCATTCTGAACTATTCAAAGTTAAAAGCAATACTGTCAGAAATAGTGCCAATTCCCATGTCACATGCACTATAGCATCTTTGTCCTTCGTAGGCAATGTCTCACACTGTAGTTAAGACTGGCCTCACATTCACTCCACAGCTCAGGCCGGCCTAGAACTTCTGGCAATCCTACTGCATCAGTCTCCTCTGAGTACTTGTATTTCAGGTGTGAGCCACCACTGACTTAAAAGAGAGCCAACATAGCTTAACATATGGCTACCCGTGTGTTAGGCAAATGCTAGAGTCACTGAGTCACATTCCAAACCATAGATCTATCTTCCTTTTTAAATGAACACCTTGTTGCAAGATGAGTGGTCACAATACACAGTGGATTTAAGACCCTAGGAAAACATGTGTTAAAGGGAAAGAAAACAGCTTGAGCCTCCATATTGAATGCTGATTTATAGGACAGCAGTGCATCTACCAGAAACTCAGCATCCTGTTGAATAAATCTGGAACAGAAATTCTCACCTTCTGTCTAAGTAAGAAATAGATATATTTTGAGTCTTCAATTCTTCATATTTTTACAAAATCAAACTTTGTAATGCTAGAAACCAATCGGAAAAGCCTTTAAGATAGTAGATATGATAAGATCTGAAATCTCTCTATAGTTAGACAGTAGTCTATGTTGGAAGAACAGTTAAGCAGGCTTTTTCAGTAGCTTGTCAATAAACACCAGTTACAGAGGCGAGTGCAACATTAAAGCAAGTGTGTCCTAAAATCCCAAGGCCTACTAAAAATCCAATGTCAAAAGGAGGTATATATTATGGCATTGAAAAATGATCACGCATCTATAAGAGATTTTTAACTGATAATCAGTTTGGAATTATAGTCAAGTTTTATATGATATCCTACTCCTGGCTTGCAATACATGTGTAGGCTCCTCCGTTATGAATGGGAAATGCCAAGGAGATGTTCTCATACATTAAAGGCATTTTTCAAATTCTCACTTGATTTTTGAAACATAATTTGTATAATTAAATGACAATGCACATCATAAAGCCCCAGCTTTAGTAAGAAAATAATTGTAATATTATAATGGTTCTCAAATAAATAAAGGGGAACAATGCATACAGAAGATAGGTTTCCCAGGTTAACCTTTGACCGCTGTGTGTTCACCATGGGAACTTGTGCAAGTCACTGTATTAGTCTCTGCTTTAGCTTAGCTATGGAGTGTGAGTAATAAAACAAGGCCATCTTTCATCTACAAGGCTATGTGAAGAAGGAACAGTAAAATGTGGGCTAGGCAACTAGAGGTGCCATATAGTATACACTAAACCATGGTGGCCATAATTTTATTACACAAAAAATTACAATGATTGACTGATGTCATTATAAATCTTGAAGTTAGTAAATGCTGTATCCAAAGATAATGTTTAACTCCAAAAATATCATTGATCACATTCTGTTACATAGAGTGGATCTTTAGAATACAGTAATTTATAAAATCCACCCAGCCGATAATATGCTCCATGAGACATAACTCTGCTTCTTAGCCCTTTTGTGCTCTATGGAGGCTTACTTCCAGGATAAAGAGTGAAGAACAGTAAAGCAACATGTTGGGTCTGTGAGTCAGTCAGTTCTCACTCTTAAGTCTTTCAGCAGATGACAGTTTGAATGACCAGAGCTTCAGTGTTGTGTGCTGATGGTAGCAAGAATGATGATTATCTGAAAGTTATGGATGTATGCCATATAAGTTTGCAAATGTTGATCCTATCATTACTAATTTCAAAATACTAAAGCAACTAATGTTGATTTCCCTCAGTTAGTCATATACAAATTTATTGAAAAAATATTAGGTGCTCTGTACCCATTAATTTTCACCTTAACTAGTAAGATAGATATATTCCATACCTTTGGAACATATTCTTTAGTTAAATATATCACAAGCAGTAAAGATGGCTCTTAGTGATAATCTGAAAGTCATTATGAAATTTATAAAGTAAAACCGTATTACAGTTTGCCAAGACTGTAGTTAAGATAAGGATTCCTTGTGCTTAGCCTACATCCATGCACAGTCCTGTGCTGCATAGTGGCCTTTGGGTCAGTGATGGAGAGCCTACAGGAGATAGTTCCATAGGCCATGCCATCTAATGAGGCCATAGTCTTCTCAGCTTATGTAAGTGTATCCCATGACATTTGTACAATGATAATATCACCTAAAGGCACGGTTTATCCATATCATTAAACAAAGCACAACTCTGCCATAGTCACAGTGATCATGTTTAATTATTTTTAAAATTATATATTTAAAACCAGTATTAAACTATTCACGGTGCTAAAAAACAATATTAGTACAGCAACACAAAGTGATAAACATTACATATCCTTTAGAATGAATACAGTCTATACCTTGTTTGCATAAATTGTCAAGGTTCTTCCCTAAAGGCCCTTTAAAGTACAGCATATAAATCTATTTTCACATCTTATACATATAATTTTATAGAAAAACACTCTTGATGGTGTATTATTTTAAGGGTCTGACATCTCACAGGAAGACTCTCTTAGTTCAAGGCTGAGTTTTCAAATAGGCTTTTTTCTTCCTCACTCACTCCTCTCACTTCCTCAATCCTGGCAACTCCCCACCTGCAGCCATCAATAGTACATCACCCAGTATTCATGGTTCCGTGCAGAGATCAAACAGAGCATCTGCCTGCTGGAATGTTTACACCGGCAGAGTATCCTCGATGACAGTGAAGAAGTCTTGTCAGGACCTCGCATCTCTCTTCACTACCAAGACGCCTTAGAAGAAACAGAGGTGTGTACTTTCTTACCTCACACATGCGCACTTCTGTGTGGTACAGGTGAGAGATGGAAACCTGTGCCTTCCAATCTCCACTGTACATAACATTTCTGTATGATGTCTTCCAGAGTGTGGCCATCATTTTCAGTGACAGACTTCATCAAGAAAAACTACCAAGTATTACATGTGCCCAGTGGGGAAGTTAAAAAAATATAATAATTAATGAATGAGAAAGGAACCAAAATAGTTAATCCTTTATCTCTGCATATTTTTCCTATAAATTCCAGCAGTGAGTTTTGCGCTAATATGAATCCATAATGTCAATATATAGAATGTGAGGTTCAACTGTTTGAATGAACTGCTAGTTCCAACATAAATATTCAATGGGAAACCAAACATCAGTTATTTACACCAGGGGGAAGGGTTTACATCTTAAATATGCATCTCTTTATCTTCAGTGGAGAATGGCAACTTGGTCAGCATTTGGAAGCTTCTGCCTGGCTGGCTCTTGGGAATGCTTATTCTTCTCCAGCCGGGGGTGGTGGCTCACACAGCTTGTACAGCCTAGAAAAGACACAAAGCAGTAGGACAATCACTTAGTACACCACCCTTACCAGAGTGTTTTTATTGGCAGAACAAATACATTAAATCATTTCTTGGCTCCATCAGCCATTACCACATTGACTGTTCTATGGAAAATAGCCTATGAATCAGCTTGATCCAAAGTTTTTGAGCTGTGATTTAGAAAATGCTTCCATCTTGTTGAGCACATTTAGAAGGCTGCTCATTAAACAATACTTTCCTTTTACCCTGATCCATAAAATTATTTCTTTGCTACTTCCTAATTATAATTTTGCTACTGTTATGAATTGTAATGTAAATATCTGATATGCAGTATATCTGATATGTGATCTCCAAAGGGGTCATGACTTATAGGTTGAGAACTAATGTTTTAAAAGCTGTGCTCTGCTTCAGGATGTCTGTTTCCTTTGTTGATAGTAAAATCTATGCCCTGAATGCCAGGAGGTGTTGTCATTATGATAGTTAGCACCTTGTCCACCACAGATATCTTACAGTGATGTGGTCTCTATCTCATGGGGATCTACAGGTTTTCTTATACTTTTTATAAATTTCCATCATTTTCACTATCCCTGTGGAGCAGAGGCTGGCTGTGGATTGCTGATGTGACAACTTCCTGAAGCCTCAATCTCAAGACACAGTTCATTACCTGGGCTTTTCTAAGGATCTATGACTGGCCATCCATAGCCGGCCATCAATCACCTGTTGGTAGGATCTATTTCTAGGTTCAAAGAATTTATGTTGCTTGTGGAGAAGCTGGGACATGCACCTGCACAGCCAGGCCTAGTTGTTTGAGACCATACTGCAGCAACACACAGCTCAGGAGAACATAATAATAATAGTTTTATACAAGTTGGCCAGAGTGACTAAGTACTAACTCTAGAACCGAAGCAAAAGGGAACAAAATGCTGCCAGATAATGCTAGTGGCCTCAAGGCCACATGCAAGTTCATCTAGAGCAGTGGATCTCAACCTTCCTAATGCTTCAACCCTTTAATACATTTCCTCATGTTGTGGTGATCCCGAACCATAAAATTATTTCATTGCTACTTTATAAATATAATTTTATTGATGTTATGAATTGTAATGTAAATATCTGATATGCAGTATATATGATGTGTGACCCCCAAAAGGGGTTGTGACCCATGGGTGGAGGACCACTGATCTAGAGCCTGAGTTAAGGTGCTTGAGTGTTGGACTATACCTGTTCTCCTTAAGAAGAATAGACTACAGTGTCCTACTTTGTACATTAGGCTAGTATCTCAAATGCAGAACCCAAATTTTGTGTGTATGTGTCTGTGTGTGTGCGCATGCACACGGGCACACTCTTGTTGTCAGGGGTGTGTATGGGTGCTAAGGATTGAACTGAGGGCTTTCATGTTTACTAAACGTGTGCTCCACAGCTAAGCTACACTCCAAGAATCAACACTTCAATGTTACAGCTCTTTGAAAGTGATTCAAATAGGTGTCGCCAAGGAAATTGACTCCTTTTGCACAGTAAGTTGAACACAGCTTAAAAACGTTGTTAGTCACTTTAGCAAACTATCAATTTCCTCTCCCTGAGACACATAAAACCATGCAAATTCTAAACCAGTGGAGAAAAATGAGGATGATTTAATACCAAGTTGTAAGTCTGGTTAATAAAATGAACTTTATCAGTCTGGAAACCAGAAGTTACTATCTTTGGAGGTTTGCCAAAAGTACTTCATGCCTGAAAGGTGGCTTATGCCCCAAGGTTATCCACACAGAGGAGGGGAATGTGGAAAAGCTTATTTTGTCCTTCCCAGAGAAAAGAACACATTAAATTGGGATGATGTAGTCTGAAGATTTTTCTGCAGCTGGAATACAAGATGCTGCTTCAAAATGCCTCCTGGGGCTAGGAAAGCAGAACAATCAGAAGGTTCTTTTCTTTCTCAATTTCTATCCTCCTGTTTCCATGGCAGTTCTGCCTAGTGAGTGATAAAGTCCAGAGACCTGAGAGCAGGTAGAACAGAGATGGGAGGGCTGGTGGAGGATGTCCTACCTACCACATTCCATTACCTTTCTCTGCATGTTTGTGGCCAGTATGACCATTGGTCATACTGGGCACAAGCAGAGAGATGAGTCTTGGAAACATCTGCCTTGCAAATGGGAGCAAAGGTTATTCCCTGTAGTCACCAAATGCAATAATAGCTCTGTCTACTGCAGAGCTGGGAAGCTTCAGCTTCTGTGAGGCTTCTTGGATGTGACTCAGGGTTATTTGAGTTCAGACACACTTGTAATGGAAACTATACAGCTCTGGGAATGTAGTTCAGGTGGATGAATTTTGGAAGCAAAATGTAATAGGTAAGGAGTTGGACGCTAGTGTGCTGCACCTTCTGCTTTGGGCAGCTAAGTTATTGGGTAGGGAGGGGTGGTGGTGGTGGTGCTTTTTGCTGGCCCAACATGTGAAGCTATTATCCTACACCTGGGCACTAGAGGCCCTGAGTGAGCAAAGGTTGTCCCAGCTCTACTTCCTTGTCTTCCTTGTCAGGTTTATATTTCTGCATCAGAGTCCCCAAACTTCATTGTCTATACCATGCCCTTTACCCACCTAAATGTGCTAACAGGGGCTACAGGGCAAATGGAAGAGGTTCCTTATTTGAAATATACTGTGTCTCAGCAATTCCCCCATCTGAAAGATGAGAAATTGGAATCTCAGACACACACACACACACACACACACACACACACACACACAGAGAGAGAGAGAGAGAGAGAGAGAGAGAGAGAGAGGCACATGTACACATAGGGCTTTGGCTTTGTCTCTCTCCTGCTAGGCTAAAGCTCCTTGAACACACAGATTTCCTATCTGTTTTGATCTCTTTCTATCAAAGGATATTCCTGACATATTTCAGACATAAAGTGCTAAAGCAGAGTAATGATGTTCAGGAAACCCACGCACCAGGACCTATAACAAATCTATCTAAAAATGATTAAAATTCAGTACTCGATGATGCAACATAGTGATTCCATGAATCAGGAAGTTCACTCTTCCTGTGTGGTAACCATAGCTACTTCATCTTTTGTAAATTTCAAAACCACCCTCCACCCCGTTTGTCTTCAGCTTCTCAGAATCTCATCTTCCATCCTGTTCCTCTGTTTGCTAGTCACACTAAGGTCACCCATAGTAGCATTCTCTTCCTTCCCACCCACCAGGTAATAAAATTCACGTCTAAACTGACATGTGACTCACAGTACTGTAGCTCTGCCTCAACTACAGCCCTGTAGCCTGTAACAAAGGCATCTGCACCGGCTTGCTTCTACTTCTCCATCTCAGTGTGAACCAGCTGAGATCACCATCCTTGTCCAGTGCACACTCTTTCCCTTTGAACTCAATATCTCAAGAGCAGGAGCTGTTAACCACTTTTATTCAAGTCAACCTCTCATGGTCATTCATGAATGTTCTTTTTCACTAATTCCTCTCCTGTTCCCACCCAAAGGCTATGAATTAGGCTAGTAAGTGTTTGTCTTCTTATTTTTATTCTTCATACTAACATCATCTCCTTTCAAACCATCTTCAGCCCTACTGTCCTCTAATGGGCCATCCCAGTGTTGCCTAAGAAGATTCTAAGATTCAAAATTTCCAGACATGAAGGTGAGGAATGCCACTGTTCTTTCAAGTTAAAATGAAAAATCTTCCTTATTCCTGTAAGTACCTTCCTGTCTGGCTTCTGCCTACATCTCCGGCAACACTCTCCATTGCCAGTTAATCACTGAAGCTGAGGGATAATTCACTCTGCTTTCACCAGAAGCCCTGCCCTACCAGATAACAGAAAGTATATATAGTGTGTATGTTTGCTGAGTGAAAAACAACAATAATAAAGCAAGAAAGTGGATGTTAGGAATACTATGATAGAGGTCAGTTATGAGATTTGAACCAAATAAAATCTCAGGCAGAGATACCTCACTGGACCTCCAGGAATGAACTTTCTAGAAATATTTTGTCAGCTTTGCCAATGGGTAGTTTGGCCTTGAGAACCAAGTGTGTCCTCCAGCTAACTGTATTTGAGGAAATTGCTGGTTCTTGTCAGAAGGGGTCCTAGGGCACTGTGAGTCTCTGTATTCTCTGCATCTCCACAGACTTCTCACCTCCTCTTCTCCTCCCGCCCTCCTTCCCTCTCTCCCTCCCTCTCCTCTTTCCTGTCTCTTCCTTACTGAGAATCAAATCTTGGCCCTTGTGCATTCCAGCCAAACATGCTAGTACTCTACCACTGAGTTATGTCTCCAGTTACACATTTCATTTCTTTAAGTGGAAGCTCCTTCAGGGCCATAGGCACTTCTGTACTGGACTACTATCCTCCCTGGAGCAACAGTAACACATACTATATTCCCCAATAAATATCTGCAGAATGCATAAAACAGTAAATAAAAATTTGAAATGATTTTTATTTCTCTCTTAAGGTTGTTACCCTCTTGGGCAAGTGTCAGTTTTATAGCTGGTTCATTTTATTATGTTTCATCTCAAGTGTTTCAAGGATAATCCAATAGAGAAAAGGCTTGAGTTCATCAGTTTGTTTTCTTGTGTTCAGCCGGAGTATTAGTTTATTGATTGGGGAGCTGAAGTCTTATCCCAACCTCACTGTTTATTAGTGTTCAAAGGCTCTAGCTGAATTGGAATTTTAACACTTGAGTGGGTCTATTATACAAATATACCATGTCTGCTCATGGTGTTAGAGAGAATGCTCATGTGAAATGATTCCCTAGCAATAGAAAGCCTTAAGATTCTAATCTAATCAGCCATGAAGTATAACATTAACAAGACTAGAGGATTACATAGAATTGGGAATCAGCACTAAAAATAAATGCAGCTACAACATGATAGCCTCATCCATTTTTCAGAGGGAAAATATGTTTTCCCTTTTGAAAGTGCTCTTACCACCCAAGAAGTTTTTCAAAATGAAGTATAACTTCATAAAAGGCTGTAGTTGCCATCTTCTCTCTGATAATGGTGTTGGGAACAGAGACAAAGAATATCTTATCTGAGTTAGACCTAGAGATACCTACTTGTTGTTAAAATGCAAACATATAACAATGATCAAATGTAAGGGAAATTATTTAACAATGCTCTGCTTCAAGAGAGATGACTGCTCACCCTAATCATAGGAAATCAAATGGAAATCATTTTTCTATGATAATTTTCATTAAGGTAGAGTCCTTTCATATGATAATTACTAAATTGTGAATAGTTTATATAACCAATAAAAAGCTCATTGTTTCCTTCATTCATTCACATGGTCTTGAAATGAATTTAGATATTTAATGTCTTATGTTGTCACTGATAAAATGTCTTCTGAGAACTTCTATTTGGGCTGGACAGAGAAACCTCTAATAATTATAGCAGCATAACATAATGTGATACCCAGGATACCAGGAAGCTGACAAAAGGAGCATCTCAAGCAAAACTCAAAGCAGACATGACATCCAAACTGGGGTTTGTGAGTTAAATAGGAGTTTTGCAACCATGGCAGAGGGAAAGGCATGGCAATCACCGAGGGTCAATGGAAAGGGTAGAATGGCAGTTGGCACATACGAATTGCATTTTGAGTCATATTTGCATAGACTCTTTTTAAATTCAATTTCAAATTAAAATGTCTGTTTATTTCTGAGAGAATTCATTAGCCCCTTGTCAATCTTCACCACTGATTTCACCAGTTGAAATTTGTTCAATTAGTGTCAGTATGACACTGAGCATGAACTAGGCAGGTCCACAGCCAACACTGCCAGAGGCCAGCAAGCCCTCAGGTAAAGGAGAGATGGGGTACACTTACCTCGGAGCTGATTGAGGAGTCCGGTCTCTAACCCCCAAGTTCTTAGCTGTGTTCTGAACTCTTGCACCCTGTAAGTTAGGGAAATCATTTCTGTTCAATAATGTTTGAGTTAATTCCAAAGCACCCAAGTTGAGGCACTACTCCAATACATTTTAGCATCAGAGGACACTGATAAGTAATACAACAGAAACCACCATATGAACGTATAGTAAGAAATTACCAATACGGAGTCAGGTAGAAATATAAGGGTATTTAATAGGGAAAAGCCTTACTTACAGAGCGAACCAGCCAGCCGGTGGTAGTCTGTACAGCAAGAAGCAAAGAGAAACCGAAACCGAAAACGCAGTCCCCCTACTCACTCTGACCACGCCCTCACAAGCCCTCAGGTACTCTTGTAGCCAGCCCCTAAGAAGGCGTGGCTACAGCTTCCCCTACATGAATGTTTTCAAAATCAGTGCTTTTATGACTTAAATTATATGGTTCTAAATACTTTCTATTAATCCTGTAGCCTAGAATCATATAAAGGTGAGTTTAACAGACTCCCATTTCCCCCACATCTTACATCTTCATCTTCAGAAGCAATTAATAAGTTAAACTTTGAGAATAGGACATGACCAAGGCTATTAACATGATAGGCCCAAACACTTTCATAGAACAGGAGACATACCTGCATCTCCTCAGATGGACAGTTATTTTAAATGTAATATTGTTTTATAAAAAATCTTTTAAATATGCTAAAGAATTTTTATACAAGCCATATGAATGTGGAGTTATGAAAACTAAGAGTTTCATCTCAAAGTTGATGGTACAAAGACCATCTTGTTCAGCAATAAAAAGGACCCTGTGACCTGTCAGTTTCATGAATGAAGTTACAGCCACTGTTTAGTTCCTAATGCAAGCTAGTTACACTGAACCAGCTGTGACTGTTTGCTTCTGGGAACAGAGAAAGGAGTGTGGCCAAAACAAAACAAAACTCTGAAATGATCCAAGTAAGCACTGCACACCCAATACCACCCTAAATAAAGTTGAGAGAAATTTCAAAGGAATAAGACCTTGTCTCAAAAACCAAATAAACAACCACCACACCAAAATTCAATAACAAAGTAGTTCTAATACTTCAAAGCCTAATACAGATGAAAAATGTTTAACCACTGTGTCTTCCAGGGTCAGTTTAAATGGCCAAAGCTTCCCCTTCATAGGGAGAAAGAGGAAGATGGTGAGGGATGTCCTTCTGTATGTATGTTTCTTCTATTGACTGGTGAATAAAACATTGGCCAGTAGCCAGGCAGGAAGTATAGGCAGGGATACCAGAATTCTGAAGAGAAAAGGCAGAGAGAAACCGATGAGGAGATGCCATGTAGCTACTGGGAGGATAGGATACCAGGCATTCTCCAGACCAATAAGGCCATGTATAAATTCACAGATTAATAGTTATGGGTTAATAATTAAGAGAGAGCTAGCCAGAAAGAAGCCTAAGCCAACTGCCAAACAGTTAATAATTAATATAACCCTCAGTGTGTTTATTTGTGACAAAAAAAGCTGTGGGACCAAGTGGGACAGAAACCTCCATCTAAAGGAAGAGCCACATCGGGTGCTGAATAGACTTGCATTCTAATCACTTAGAGAGCATGAGGGAGGGGTGGGTACCAGCCACCTATTTCTCACCATCTGACACTACCCAGTGCCTAAAGAAAGCTGCTCACTGAAGCAGTGCAGGCTGGTCTGCTGGATATCAAACTACCAGCCTGACTCCCAAACAGGCTCTGCAATCTTTCTCAGGGCAGAGATAATCAAGTCTTCAGTTCTCTCTGCCCTGTAGCATAGACTGTGTCTTCCAGCTCTCTCTGCCCTATAGGGTAATCAGCTTGGATCTGAGGGACCAGCATTAGAGGAAAAAAGCTACCTATTCTCAACCCAGTTATAAAACAAAAAAGAGGATGAAAAAGTGATAAAAAATGTACAGTTTAGAATCTGCCTGACTTTCCAGTCATTCTGATTTGATTTTACATATCAAATATCAATACTATATGTGGATATCAGGCTTGTAATTAACTTTGTGGCAGTGAAGTTGATATGTAAAATCAACATCTCTTTATCTCTATTTTTTATGTCCATATTCGTTTTAATGATTAAAGATATTACAGAGGACTGGGGTTACTCAGACCTACAGGTAAGAATTCACAGGGAATCAACTCAGAATAAACTCTTTAGTTGAATGTTTGAGAGAGGCTCACTCCAGCTCCTTCTGTTTGTAAGGTTTAATTGTAAGAGAGCTTTGACAAAGTTCCCCATGTATGTTTTCAAGAGTAACACAGGAAAAGCAAAGAAGACTTCGTCCACCCCTTTGTTCTTGTTTCTACCCTAAATCCCACCTCTCATGTGAGAACTCACAAGCTTACTTTGAGTTTTTTGTTTGTTTGCTTGTTTGTTTGTTTGTTTGTTTCAGAACTTGTGCATCTACTTCTCCAAGTCCTTCCTAAACCACATGGCAGTTTGCAACTGTGTTTGTCACTTGTCATCTGGAAAACAATGTCACATTCTTCTTCTGATGGATCTAAATTTTACTTAACTAATTCCTGTGTGACCTTTTAAGTTGCACTCAGTCAACTTCTACCGCTGGATTCCAAAAGCAAAAGTTGCAAGGCATATGTGCTTACTGGGCCTGCAATCCACATTGCAAATGCTAGCCCCTTGTTGGCTTCTCCAGTCTATTTCTTCATTGACTGGATTGACATTCCATAGTGAAATCTTGGAAACAATACCCAGGGGGGTTGACAATGCTTATGTTTGCCTGAGTAAAGTTTTAATGAATAAAGTGATTATAATTACAAAAGCATATCTAATGAAGTCACTGTTGATGAACAACTCAACACAAGTCAGCTTTTGCTGCAGCAGGCCAAAGGACTGTAACAGAAAATACGTAAAATTGATGACTTTCATTTTTCTTATCTTATGTCTTTTGTACTAGCTCAATTCTATTTTGTAATCAGAACAATGGAAACCAGTGCATTAAACAAAAAAAGGAATTTAAAACCAAGTTACCTTGGTTTTTTAATTACTATTGGGTTACAGTTTAAAATTCATACTATTTAAAAGGGGACACAAAAGGTACAGTCTCCGGTAATGGAAAGATAGTTAAAAGGGTCATATTCAGCCCAAATGGAAATTGTGAGCTTAGCA